GGGTTTCACCTATGTTAACCAGGATGGTCTCGATCTCCTGACCTCGTGATCCGCCCATCTCGGCCTCCCAAAGTGCTGGGATTACAGGCTTGAGCCACCGCGCCCGGCCACAGGTCTACCCTTAGAGAAGCATGAGCTGGTCTGGTGGTGAAGTCATTTTCCAGCTGCTTGACCTTGGGCAAGTTATTTAATCTCTCTAGGTCTCAGTTTCTTTGTCTGTAAAATGAGAAAAATAATAATGTATGGTCTTATTTGAATCTGAATATTTATTGTTTCACTTTATGTGTGAAATCTGAAATAACCCCAATTTTCCCAAGTTAAAAGTTGTCAAGAATCTTGTAAGGCAGTGTGGATTGTAAATTGTAAACTGTGTTTATGCTAGAGCCACATAACAGCACTGTCCTAATAGGTAATCAGAAATATCTACCATTCTTCAGCAGGTGAGCTATTTTTTTTTTAACTTTTTAAAAATTTCCATAGTTTATTGGGGAACAGGTGGTGTTTGGTTACATGAGTAAGTTCTTTAGTGGTGATTTGTGAGATTTTGATGCACCCATCACCCGAGCAGTATACACTGTACCCTATTTGTAGTCTTTCATCCCTCACCCCCCTTTCACCCTTTCCCCTGAAGTCCCCAAAGTCCACTGTGTCATTCTCATGCCTTTGCATCCTCATAGCTTAGCTCCCACTTATGAGTGAGAACATAGGATGTTTGGTTTTCCATTCAGCAGGTGAGCTTTTAATGACACCAGTTTTGAATTATTTGAGGTCTTTAGGGATGCCTCCCTCAAGTAATTTGACTGCTCACACCTCCCTTATAGAGTAATTGTGAATATTGAATGAGATAATGCAGCAACTAGCCCACAGTAAGCACTCAGTAACAGTCATGATTTTTGATACAATAATCATTCCTGAGAACAAAGAGAGAGAGGATGTCATGGGAGAAGGTTGTCACACTCATGAAAATAAACAAGCAGACCTGGGTAGACCTGGGTCTGCTGTTTTCCCATCCGTAAAGTGGCTGTAATAGCGACCCTGTGAGGAGCTGAACATTTGCAAACTTTGGCATCAATGGCTATGAAGGCAGTTATAATGGCTAATGCGATTTTATAGCTTGGCATGAAAGCAAAGAGGTACAGGATTTCTACAGGTGTGCCCTACTTTCAACAAGATTGTAAAAATTCAAATTTAGTCATTCAATGATTAGCTTTTAACTTTTTGTTAATATTACAATGTGTAGGCTGAGTGCAGCGGCTCATGCCTGTAATCCCAGCACTTTCGTAGACCAACGCAGGTGGATTGCCTGAGCCCAGGAGTTCGAGACCAGCCTGGACAACATGGCGAAACCTCGTCTCTACAAAAACTACGAAAATTAGCTGGGCGTCGTGGTGCCTGCCTGTAGTCCCAGTTACTTGGGAGGCTGAGGGGGAAAAATCGCTTGAGCCCAGGAGGCAGAGGCTGCAGTGAGCAGAGATAGTGCCACTGCACTTCAACCGGGGCAACAGAGCAAGACATTGTCAAAAAAAAAAAAAAAAGAGAGAGAGAGAGAGAATAAACAACGTGCAAAGACTGGCTGAGAAGGATTAAAAAGCTATGGAACATGCCCCTGCCACTGAGGAAATTAGAGCCTAGACAAACAGGGACCGATTGGCGTATCAGTGGCCTCACGTGGATCACAGACTACTCTGTACTTTTTGTTTTGGGTTTTTAATTGGAAATTGTTGCCAATGTAAAACTTGGGAGGTTTTATATTAACATCGACGTTTGCAGCTTTTCTTGAGCAGCAGAAGGATCTGGGCAGCACTGAGCCTGCATTTACGCAGGTCACCAGGTAGCTGCCCCTTGAGCCAAGGTATTACAGGCTGACTTGTGTCTCTCCAGAATTCGCACACTGAAGTCCTAACTCTCAGATTCTCAGAATGGGACTGCATTTAGAGATAGAACCTTAAAAATGGTAACCAAGGTAAAATGAGTCATATGGGTAGGCCCTAATCCAGTATGAGTGGTGTCGTTATATGAAGAGGAGATCAGGACACAGACATACACAGAGTGACAACCATGTGAAGACACAGCAGATCATGGCCACCTGCAAGCCACGGAGAGAGGACTCAGAAGAAACCAACACTCAGACACCTTGATGACGGGCTTCCAGCCTCTAGGGATCGTGAGAAATAAATGTCTATTGTTGCATGTCCCCAGACTGTGTTATTGTCATGGTGCCCCACGCTGACTAGGACAGACAGCCTGTGTTCTAGAGTGTTCACAGTCCTCACCACTCCCAAATATCATGCATCCCATTCCCATACACATTGTGCACAGCCCCTGTCAGTATCTGGGTTTGCAACCCCTAACCTAGAGGAAAAGAGTAATGATTCTCCATGTATGTTGTGTGTTCTTATTTCAAAGTTTTGATGTTCATATCTCCCTTAATTCTCCCCACACTTCTAAGAGGCTGATACTGTCATCTCCACTTGGCAGAAGAGAAAACAGAGCTCAGAAAAGGGAAAAATTACTTTTCCTAGGTCAAAGTTTGGGTGGAACTCAGTCCTGCTGGCTAGGAGCCCAGAGCTCAAGTTCCACTACCATGGCCCCTCAGCTAACAGGGGAGTTACTAACAGGGCAGTGATGTGTATGCGCATGTGTATGTGTGTTACAGGAGTAAGCCACTTAATAGAAGTGAACAAATCCATGGGAAGGTTATTTGCTTGGATAAATATTTGGCACATAATTCCTTTCAAAAGAAAAGCTAGAATGGGACGGGCGCGGTGGCTCATGCCTGTAATCCCAGCTCTTTGGGAGGCCGAGGCGGGCGGATCACGAGGTCAGGAGTTCGAGACCAGTCTGGCCAATATGGTGAAACCCCGTCTCTACTAAAAATACAAAAATTAACTGGTTGTGGTGGCGTGCACCTGTAGTCCCAGCTACTCAGGAGGCTGAGGCAGAAGAATTGCTTGAACCCAGGAGGCGGAGATGGCAGTGAGCTGAGATCGTGCCACTGCACTCCAGCCTGGGCGACAGAGCAAGACTCCATCTAAAAAAAAAAAAAAAGAAAGAAAAGCTAAAATAGAATGTAACTAATAGAAGTTTGATTTATGCAGGAGTTCATCTCATAGAGGCAAATTAAGGTTGGCAGGCCTTTGACCTGGAAGAAGGAGTGGGTGAAGCCGTGGGTGTGGAGAGGGACTCTGTTACCCCACAGTGAACATTCAGGAGTAGGACGCATCAGTGATTGAGACAGCAAGAGAGACTGTCTGATTAGCAGGGTCAGGATAAGAGAAGGAATAGAGAGACGGGAGAAGAATAGGGACATTTGCAGAGAAAAAAGTGACATCTTGGAGAACTTGCTGAATATTCGATGAAGACAGAGTGGCTTCAAAGATGACTCCAGCCTTGTGAAAAATATCTCAGTTCATCCATACAATGACACACTATGACACCATTAGAAGAACAAAGTAGGCCTGTATATGTAGATATGTAAACAAGGCGAAGACACACTGTTAAGTGAAAAAAGCAAGTTGTACCATGGAATGTAAAGTATGCTTCTTTTTGAGTTAAAAAAAAAAAAAGCACAAATATAGAGTATATATATGTACAGAAGGGTTGGGGAAATACTTTCTGAAAAGACGCAAAATCTTGTTAAAGGGGTTACCTTTCAGAATTGGGAGGGAGTATGTAGGCTTTTACTTTTCTCTTTCTAACTTTTGAACTGTTCGAATTTCCTGTGATGAGCATCGTTACTTTTATAACATTTAAAACAAAAGGTAACCCTAAGGTTTAAGGATTGGAAGACAGGTAAGTGTGGTATCCCTGCTAGGAGATGGGGAGAAGTCAGACATTTGGGAGGAAACAAATTCTGCAGTGAATCTGATGTGTTACAATGAAGGGCTGTAGTGATGCTTGGAAATGTGTGTGGAGAGTCTGAGGATCCGGCAGTTGAAAGCAGGAGTAATTGATATAATTACTCCAGATGACAGAATAAATTAGAGAATGGTGCAGAGGGAAGGCAAAAATAAGGATGTGAGAGGACAGATTTTTAACAATTCTAACTGAGTACCAGCCTTGGGTTGCCCTATGTAGGACATTGTCTTTCTATTACTGCTACTTCAGCATGGTGGAAACACAGGGTCTCTGAGAAATGGCCAGTCTAAGGAAGGGACCGCTGCAGGCTTCCAAGCAGGGCAGTTTTGTGGTCAAGGAGCAGAGGAGGATCACAATGAGGTAGTGCAAGGGACTCATGGTGTCACAGGAGAGACCTGGGCTGGGAGAGTATTAGGGCCCATTGCAATTGTTTAGCTGAAAAGCGAGGTCCTAGAACGCGGCAGCAGCAGTGGGGATGGAGAAGTAAGGACAAAGCATATTAAGACAAGTAGTTTAGGCAGGGAAGGAGAGTGAAGAGAGTCAAGAAGCATTGGGTACAAATCTCTGCCTGCCGTTCAATACTTTCTGAGCTCAGTTTGCCAGTCTGTATCATATATTTAAATAAATATGAAGATTAAATGAAATAATGCATTCAGTACATGTGAACTGTGATTGTTAGCTCGGGTATTGGATTCAGATTTACCAGACTCCAAGTCCCTTTTTCATCAGTTACTAGCTGTGCAACCCTGTCCAAATCATTAATGTCTCTGAGCCCAGTTCCTCTTTTGTAGACAGGGATAATCCGTTGTCATGAAAATGAAAGAGCACAAGTAAAGTGCTGGCAGGACTTGGCACAAAGTAGGCGCTCAATAAATGGCAGAGCTACGGGTATTACTATTGTAACGGGTAAACCACAGGGCACAGAGCCTGGCACACAGTATGGACTCAAAACATGTTAATTTGTGTTATAATACAGAAGGCAGAAGTCGAGAGGCAGGAATGCGCGAGCTGCCCAACCCGCAATAAAGGCGCGCTGGCAGCTCTCCCGCCTTCCGCATCCTGCCCCGCCCGCAGCAGTGCAAGTCCTCCTCCTCCCCGCGCGCACTTGCCGCCCCCGCCCGACCGCGGTGCGGGCCACTCACCCTCGCGGCTGTCCGCCACGTCCAGGGGCGTCCGGAGCAAAGAAGCTCTCGGCGGGGCTCCGCGTCCCGGCTTTCCTCGGCTGCAGCAGCCGGGCCGAGCGTCGGCCCCAGGCATAGTTTTCCCATCCCGTCATGGGCGGGAGAGCCTTCCTCCCGGTCACGTGGGCTGGCCCGCAGTGCAGCATTCTCTTTTTAGCAGCTGTTTGGAAAAAACTTGCAGTGCTGATGACAACTCGGGTGTGTCGATGCATCTCTGCGTGGGTAGAGCCTGTTAGTGCATTTGGAGGTTGTGTGCACCAGAGTGATCAGAGTGATTGTTTCCCACACGTTTGCAAAGGTGTGCATGGACTTGAGTGTGATGATAAATCATATGGATGTGTTTAGTTGTGTGTGCGCAAAAGTGCGTTTATCCAAATTTTTCATCAGGGCTGTTTGGTGTATGTACATGTGCATGCACATGTCCAAGACGGCAGCTTGGTGTACAACTGGAGTGCACATCAGCGGCTGGATGTACAGGATAGTGGCTAGACATCTGTATGTGGGGTGCATGTTTAAATGTGTGTATGACTGTGCAGTGGCTCATTCTGTGTTGATTTGTATGCATGCCTTGGTGTGGATTTTGTCCAGATGTGAGTGTGCACATACACACTACTGTGGGTGAGTGCCCTGTGTCCCAGCTCTCATTTCTCTCCTCCCCAGAAGGTGAGGATTCACTGGCCTCACTAGCTCTCTGGCCCAACCTCAAGTCATTGAGAGACTTATGGAGGGTCTCAACTCCCAGGATAGACAAAGCAATCCTGTGTAGGAATCAAGCAGGCACTGGAGGAAAGGAAATCCTCCAAGGCCTGGCTTTCGCTTCTCCCTGTTCTTTCCACTGCTCTCTTCCACTAGCTACCCATATTTCGCTCCACGGCAAGAGCATCTGGTTAACAGCTGGTAACTGACACAAAATTTATAGTCAGAATTTTAATACAGCTATGCATTTGAATTCTAACGTTGGAACCACTGCCTTAATCAAGTCAGATAACCTCATAGATCGTGTTTTATTTTCTAAAAAATTGGGAGAGTATTACTTGCACTGCCTTTACCCCAAAGTTGGGATACTAACTCATAAAGATGTTTGGTAAGCCATTGAACTATGTAGGAAATTATTACTAATACTACATAAACACCATCTGAGAATGAAAGTTTGTAGGCTCAACAAACATTCATTCAACAAATATTTGATAAGCATCCATTATGTGTCAGTCCCCAAGCAAGGTGCTGGGGATATAGAGGGAAACAAATAGGCTTGATACCTACCCTCATGAAACTTAGAGTCCTCCAGTTGGGGATGAAACCAGTGGTTACAAGTGAAATGAGTGTTATAGAAAACAAAAAGTATAAACTGGGCAGTAAGGGGAAGGCCTGGGAAAGTGATGTTTCAGGTGAACCCTGAGAGATCAGTGAGACTTGTCTGAATGTAGGGGAAGTGTGACCTTAGAAAATGAAAGAATGATAACATGTGGAGTTTAGGGTGTTGATACACAGATGGCTGGAAAGGAAACTTCCATCCACTGCCTCTTGGGTCAGATGTGTCAGCAATCAGAAAGGTGAGGAAACTGCTTAGAATGCCTGGAGGTCATTCAGAATCTAAAGGGCTCAGGAAAGCCCCTCTCCTAGGGGAGAGTGGTAATATCTGTGTGTTATCCATGTGGCTCCATTATGACAGAGGTTGAAATCACTGGTATGCTCTCATTGGTTAGAAAAAAAAAAGGTTAATGAAAAGTATAAGAAAGGCAGTGGTGCTATACCTGGCAGTGTGAAACATTTAGTAAACACTACTGACTGAATCAATGGGGGCAAATGTTTTCCCAACTTTTGAAGGATACCTGGAACCTAGGTTTCCTAAAGCCTAGCAGAGTTCCTGGGTCCTTGTCCTATGGTTCCTTGCAGTGCTGATGGTTTCATGTAGCAGGCAATGCAAAATACTTCTGAAGTGGCAGTTCTACGAGCTGTGGGAACTGTGTCAAGCTAGAATGGGGCTTAGAACTTCCTCTCCCTAGCCTCTGTCTTTACTCTCTGTCTTGAATTCAGTCTACGAACATTTGTGTTTGAGATGGAGTCTCGCTCTGTTGCCTAGGCTGGAGTGCAGTGGTGCAATCTCAGCTACCGCAATCTCCACCTCCCAGGTTCTAAAGATTCTCCTGTCTCAGCCTGCTGAGTAGCTGGGACCACAGGCACGCACCACCACACCCGCCTAATTTTTGTACTTTTAGTAGACATGGGTTTTCACTATGTTGCCCAGGCTGGTCTTGAATTCCTGGCCTCAGGTCGTCTACCTGCCTTGGCCTCCCAAAGTGCTAGGATTAGAGGCGTGAGCCACCGCACCAGCCACAGTCTATAAACATTTATTACCTATTATGAGTATGGGGACAAAGAGATGAACTTCTGAATGAGAACACAAATTACACTAGGAGGCAAAATATAATTAAGTGCCATAGGAAAGGTGCAAAGTGTGAATATGAAAGAGGATTTTCCCCTTCGATTTCATTCAATTCATTTCACATCTACTCACATCTAGAGAACATGCTAGTATCCATCTAGAGAAGATGAATGATATGACATTGATGGCCACAGAGTGGGGCAGCCATGAGGCAGATGTGGCAGATTGGCTTGTTCCACAATTGTCCAAACTCTTCTTGGTGTGCCCTCCTATACAACAGAGACTAGAAAGCTAAAAATCCATTTCTTAGACTCCTTGCTGTTGGGGCTCCCATTATAATTTAGGTTTAGCTAGTCCTGTGCACCTGGGAAAGACCTGAATTCAAAATTGTGTTAAGAAAAACAAAAAACCAAACACAAAAACAGTTACGTGAAGAGGAGGCAGCAGCCTGGGAGGAATCCACTTTGCTGGTGGTAACCTGGAAGGTGCAGTGTGACTCTGGAGTTCTGCCAGTTCCTGATCCCCAGATTACACCTAAGATGTTGCGTTCCTGTAGTCAGACTGGGCCAGTCGCTGGCCTGCTGACTGTGGCAGAAGTAACTGTTCCCTTGGGGTTGTGGGGTTAGTACGACGGTGGGCTTTGGGTTTTGGGACTCGGGACTCATTCCTGCAAGCCCAAGCCAGAATTTGTTCTGCAATGGTTCTGAGTTTATTTGATTCTTTTTATTAAATTCATGTCTGCTTAAAATCCTGACATGTCATATTGTGAACTATAGGTGCTGTGAAAGTCAGGGAAAGGAGATGAGTGTGGATCAGAACAAGCAGAGAAGAAATCTAGAGGACTGCCTTCTTTCCTCTTTCTATCCACCTCCTATGCTCAACCCCATTTCAATCCTACTATCAACCTTCAGATTAATCAGTTGATTAAATATCAGCAACAATGCACCAGGCACTCTGCTTGATGTTGGGGTCACAGTGATGAACGAATAAGGAAGGTCTCTGCTTCCACAGAGCTTACCAGACAAATGTGAAACCAGCAACCAAATAAACATATAATTCAAAATTGTGGTGCAAATAAGAGGAAAACATGGGAAAGAATAATGGTATGAAGTCTGTGAGATAACCTATTTTGATTGAAAAGTCTAGATGATCTCTTCAGTAGGTGATATTTAAGCTGAGTCCCAAAGGACAAAAAAGGACTAGTCGGCCAGCAGACGCGGTGGCTCACGCCTGTAATCCCAGCACTTTGGGAGGCCGAGGTGGGCGGATCACGAGGTCAGGAGATCGAAACCATCCTGCCCCGTCTCTACTAAAAATACAAAAAAATTAGCCAGGCATGGTGGGGGGTGCCTGTAGTCCTAGCTACTCGGGAGGCTGAGGCAGGAGAATGGTGTGAACCTGGGAGGCGGAGTTTGCAGTGAGTGGAGATTGTGCCACTGCACTCCAGCCTTGGCAACACAGCAAGACTCCATCTCCAAAAAAAAAAAAAAAAAAAAGGGCTAGTCATACAAAGGTGGCCAAGGTGAGGAGGGGTGCCAGGCAGAAGAAGCAGAGTATGTACAAGCTACCTTAGTCTTTCTAAACATCTTTCTAATGCTTTCCTGTGTAACAGAGGATAAAGCCTAAACTCACCCTTTTTTTTTGTTGTTGAGGGGACTGTCCTACGCATTGTAGGATTATCAGGATCTCTGGCCTCTACCCACTAGATACTACCTGCTAGTAGCAGCCCCCCTCAACCCCAGCTGGCACAACCAAAAATGTCTTCAGACTTTGCCAAATCTTTCCAGAGGGGCAAAATTGCCCTCTATTGCAAAGCACTGTCTTATAGGTAAGCTCTGCTTTGGTCAGGGTGGTTTTCTCACTGACTCCCAAATGCACCATCAATGTTTACATTTCTGCACCTACATATGCCGTTCCCTCTAATTACTATATCTTCTTCTGCCTCTCCACAAAGCCTTACCCATATTTCTACCACAAATCCATGGCTTTTTCCATTGGGGAACTCTGTTTGGATAACTCTCATGTGTTTCGGGTGGTAGGGGAAGAAAGGTCCATCCTAGTGCTCTATCTGCTCTCTGGCTACAGCAGCAGGGGCATGTGAATTACGTACCCTTTCCTTTTCTGCCCAGTTAGGAGTTGAATTGGTGGGCATGAGATCCAAGTGAGCCAATCAGAGTCTTTCCACGTGATCTCCATAAGAGTGCATTGCTTTTCTTTTGAATTGTTGACTGCAAAGAGGTAGCCCCTGGACTGCCACTAGCCGTGTTTTTCTTGGCACTTGGAGAGAGCCTGCTTATGGCAGGAGACAATGACATCAATACACAAATAGAAGTAGATCCAAGAAGAACTGAAAGGTGGAGCAAGTGCCATGACTACATTATTAAAGCCCTTTTTCCAGATACTTGTGCTAAAACAGTCTCATTCGCGTATTCTTTTTCTCTTTCTTTAAGCTAGTTTGAATTGCTTCTGTCAGTTACCATGGAAAGTCCTAATCAATATCCTTCAATGCCTAGTCCAAATCTTTCCTCTTTTATGAAGTCCTCTCAGCATGAAGAAAATGCCTTCTTTGCATTCTTAACTGGTGGTTTGGTGGATCCCAGCAGCCACGCATCTCTTCCCAACTCTGAGTTTAGTGATGTCATGTTGGTAATGTGAAAGTAATCACACCATGAAATCAACAAATTCTACAAATCAGAGCAGTTCCCTCTACCGCAGCCCCCAGCCTGTTCACCAGCACATCACTGTCTAAATCCCTTCACAATTGTATCACCCATTTGGATAGTAATCATGTAGTGATTTGTGACACTTCTTGCATTTTGAAAATGGTGAGATTGGGAGGACAAGTACCATTTATGCTGCATCTGAATCTTCAGAATCTCAAAGAAGGAAAGGTCCTGAGAAATAATTTGCTCCACAGTCTTCATTTCATACCCAAAGACAAAGAGGTCCAGAGATCTTCAGTGACTTAATGGCTGTGGAGCCAAGAAGAAAGTCTTCTGACTTATACTCATTATTTAAATGTAGGCCTTTTTTTTTTTTTTTTTTTTTTTTTTGCCATTTTCAGCCTTTTATTTTCTCCAATTTTGGTATAAAATAGTATTTTAAAACTATTGTTGAATCATTCCAAACAGCTGATAGCCAAGATCCAAGTTCTCAGATGCTTACTTTTAATAAGGGTCTGTGAGGTTCTCCAGAATGAGATAATTCCAGATGGTGCTCACCAGTGTGGCAGTACTGGGGAGACAGCTATTCATAGAGAGGACTTGCTGCCATTCCACAGACTTCTAAGCCCTCAAGCCTGGAGAACTGTACTCACTGTTGTAATGCCATATGAGGGAAAAGATCAAAATAGCCCAGGTTTAAAAGACCATGTCGAAGTGAATGTTGGCTGCTCTGTGTATCGTCACTTAGAATGAAACAAGATCAACCCAAATGAAAGCTTGCTGATTTATAAAAAATTAAAAATACACAATTTATTTTTTGATATAGCCATTCTGTTTCCAGGAACTTATTCTGGAAATGTACATATGGATATTCATTGCAACCTTGTTTAATAAAGGATTGGAAACCATCTAAATGCCCAGTAATAGGGAGCTGATTAAATAAATCACTATACATATCCACACAGAGGCAGAATTCTGTATCTTATATGGAATGATCTCTGAGATATACTGTTTAGTGAGAAAAATAAGGAGTAGAACAATGTACATAGTTTGCTACTATATACTCAATAAAAGAAAGGCAAGGAAAACACACATGGGTATAAAAACAATTATTTTTGGAAGGATATACAAGAAATTGTAACCCATGAAGTTGTCTCTGGAGGTGGGAACTGGAAAACAGTTGTCAGAGGGAAGCTTATTCACTGCTTGTCTTTTGGAATGATTTGATTTTTAAAACCATGGGAATATGTTACTTATTCAACATCCCTCCCTACAGGAAAATAAAAAATAAAGTCTATGCTGTGTTGTAGTTTTTGGAAATTCTTCTTTTGCTCTTATGGATGAGCTGGATCTAGGGATGTGCCAGAGTTTGGATAGTTAATAATAGTAATCCCTCTACAATGATATACTTTCTTTAAAAAAATTTTAAAATAGCTTTTTGTTCCATCTTTCAAATTCGGGACAAGTATTTCCCTCATTATACATCTGAAGGAACTGAGTGAGGCACAGAGGCAAGTCATCTTCCCAAGGTTACACATTGAATGAGGGTCGGAGTTGGGATAACCAAAATCTTGTACCCAGCCATAAGTTCTTTCTACTAGACTATATTTAGCTGGGCAGAGGGTATCAACAAGTGAGTAGTTTTCATGGGAAGGAAAAGAAGAACCAGAGAGTTCTCAGAGGCTCTTCTTGCTTTAGGGTTTTGTTTTGTTTTGTTTTGAGATGGAGTTTTGCTCTTGTTGCCCAGGCTGGAGTGCAGTGGCGTGATCTTGGCTCACCGCAACCTCCGCCTCCCAGGTTCAAGCGATTCTCCTGCCTCAGTCTTTTGAGTAGCTGGGATTACAGGCATGTGCCATCATGCCCAGCTAATTTTTGTATTTTTAGTAGAGACAGGGTTTCACCATGTTGGTCAGGCTGGTCTCGAATTTCTGACTTCAGGTGATCCACCCACCTTGGCCTCCCAAAGTGCTGGGATTACAGGTGTGAGCCACCACGCCCGGCCCCGTTTCAGGTTTTAAGAAAGTTAAAGCTCTGACAGGGCGTGGTGGCTCACGCCTGTAATCCCAGCACTT